GCAGTTTTCATCAACCCCTCCTTGTCAAATTTGACAATGAACCCCTCCCACGTGTATGACGCTATTGCGTGTCGCATGTGCAGCTCAGTGGTTCTGTTGGGGAGATAAGTTCTTCATCTGTGAACATACTCTCAAAGCATGTCAAATGTCCATGACTATCATATCGCAACCTGCATAGGTATTTGCATTTCAATATCCCTTACTTTTTTTGAAGAGTATATAATGAAATGAAGTTTAACGTCCTACTTTTCTGCGCCCACTTGGCTAATGAAGACGGCCATAGGTCATGCATTGTGTTTTGAGGGAAATTTTCTGCACCGACTGGGCTATATGACGGGTATACGTCATACAGGGTGCTATGAGAGAAATTTTGCACGGAGAGCTTGGCGTGGTCTACTCTTATGTTGTTCCCTCCTGTCCCTGGGTCCCACACAAAAACAAACCACGGCGGAAGAACGCGCGAACAACAGGAGAGAACCCGGGAGCAGCATATATTCCTGGGGGATCGATGGAATCCAAAACTCGTTTGATCCATGCGTAGCTTTGTTGTATGTTATCAACCACAAACTATTAATCAAACATTGTAACTGAGAAGCGCTAACAGTCATTTCCGGTTAGTTTGTAATTGCCCTTAGGTAATTATGTTGAATTGACACTTAATTGGGCCTATTAAGAATAAGGTGACGTACCATTAGGTAAATAGCCTTTCCGTAATATTATACGCCAAGAACTCTACACAAATGCCATCTTCAATAGAAGGCTTGATCTCGCCTTAACTACGTAGATCTTATCAAACGTAAAACTCGCGGTTGTTGCTTCAGGGACATGCACAAATGCAATTTTAAGAGATGTTTATAATTGGTGTTTCGTGACAAATCTATTTTTTTATTTATGTATGTATTTATTTATGTTTCATATTTTATTGCATATAATGGTTCGAAGTGTACAATAGAAATGAACATAAATCATTATATACATGGATGTGTATATACATAATAAATGTACATCAACGATGTGAATAGTGTATCTCTTGATCATTGTTCTGATAAAGATCAGAGATGCCGTCAAAATCAACATGCGTATAGACATAAACATGTTAAGGTTCAGAAGAACAGTTGAAAAAACGTTCTAAAGAAAGAATGACATAAAATGAGAATACGAGTTTGTTGGGGTTTTTTCTGGATTTTAAAGGCACTATATATATATTTCGACCTGTGAAATACAGACCTTCGGGTCATACGAAATAATGAAGACGGGCATACGCCATACAGTGTGTTATGAGGGAAATTTTGCTCGGACAGCAATTGTTTCCAACTGTAAAGGGTTCTTTTCCGTGCACGCCAACCTACGAGGCCTTGGTTTTTCGACCTATCCGAACTGACAAGGGGAATCCATGCTAGTAAATCCCGTGGGGGTGGGGTGGGGGCTTTCTCAGTGATCACCGCACTACACCATGTCTCTCATTTAGGTCATACACAAGAACGTGTAGTCGTATTCAATGGCCGTATATGTTAATCTCAAAATGACCCAAGTAAAGCCTTGAAGGGATGGTAAACCCACATTCCACCCCTTCATTCGTATCAGAGTATTAACCCAGTTGTATATATACAAACGTGTTCTACTTGTACCCAAGACAACTTGACACATATCTTAGTACAGCTGTCACACTATAAACGTATATCATCTGTCAACCTCTTTATAGCACTTTAATATATTTTTTTTTTCTTGCGCTTCCTCGCTGTTTCTGAAAACGTGCTTGCTTTTAACAATTGCGTCAAATGTAATGTCATACTATGAGGCTTCGGTTTACTTATATAAGATTCACAATTTCAAAATGGCACCACTCTAAAGAAAAGACGTGCAGGAAAGTGAAACCATGGACCGTGTATAAACGGTCCAACCCAATTTCATTTTTTGGAAAGCATTATACGAAAACATAAAGAGTCTATCCAGTTATGAGATTTAGATCATTATTCTTAAAAGAATTCCAAAATGCCGTATTTGAGCCAAAAAAGGACTCAAAACCTCTGGAGATGCAGAAATAGAAAAAATACAATTCAACATGCTTATTGATGATGAAAAATGACATTTTGAGTCCACAGGTGACATTGATAACACAAATCATCAATAGCGGGTAAACCCACCACGTGCCCGGATGACGAATCTGCCTGGACCTGCAATGAGCCCATTCTGAACATCAGAGACACGCTACCTGCGGAGAAGTATTTAATTTTCGTACGTTAGTTACGTGCAGGGGGTGGGGTGGGGCTGCTGTACAGATTCCGGCACAATAATTATTGGGAGACGACGACATACTGAAGAGATGAGATCAAGGGTGGGAGCTAGCACCCGGGCAAGACCTGAATGCACTTCCACGATATGAATAGGACAATTGTTTCCAGATATGCCTGTGGTACTTTTCATGCCAGTAATAACTTTAATAATCCAAAAATAAACAAACAAAACTGGTTTGGACAGGATCAAACAGTTTTATAATCTAGATCAAAATTTGATATGCAAAAGGTCACGCATAACAATAGATTAAGTTATCATCATCTCCACTCTAGATATGTACTATGTAAATTAAATCATTTTTTATCATTATTATATAGGGGAATTATGTGTAAAATTAACAATGATATTATATAGATATCGTCTAGCAATTAAAGATACCAGGTCCTACCCACGCACAAACTGTGATTTGGTGATATATTTTGACAAAAATCTTATTCAAACTAATTTATGTATCAAAAGTGCTTCTCAAATCCCTCTCAAAACATTTTATTTGCACGAAACTACTCCAAGCCGTAAAAATCTATTATAAGAAACCGTGTTTGTCACGTGACTTGACTCAGGGAGGGTTCATTTCTAGCTTGTATTTGTCGTTACTCGCTGTCGATTTACCATCAATATCGAAGCCTGAGTATATTCCTGGATTAACCTCTCCAACATTCATCGAATCACACCAAGCGCTCGAGCAGACTAGCCAAGAGATTGTCAGTTTTGACTTTTGCGGGGAATCCGGTATTTTTCTAGTAAGATTGTGTGTCTATACTTTCCATATGTACCCAATTTGTCATTCTTTAATTGAAAATAACTATCCTATAAACTGGGCGACGGACATACTCTATATGGATCTCTTCATGTACATAATATTATATAGCCTTGAACGTGTTTTATCTATGCCCCTGGCGTTCGTAAGACGTCTGAAAAATATATTTGAGAGAGAGAGAGAGAGAGAGATTCGCTTGCGCGTAGGGGTCTTTAGAAGTGGGAGGAAACCGGAGGACCCGGAGAGAACCCATGGGGCTGGACATGCGAGCCAACTCCTTGTCACTTACAACTGGGGAATCGAAACCACGCCAGTTGACTCAATGAAAGACCTTATGATACAACGCGCACGCGCTAACCAAAGTGGTTGATTTTTTTATTTATGAAGGCTACATGTATTTATTTACCGTATTTGTACTGTATCTACTATAATATATATTATTCGAACGCACAATATAACAATGACATTATTTATAAATAGTTCCAAGACGAGCGAAAATTACCTTAAATGTTATTATTAATATTAAACCATTGTTGAAATCAGTTTACTGTGAAAAAAGTAGCGTAGCTTTACGGTTGTACTAATATTTTTGGATATTCATATAATATATATTTATTTTTAGGGCAGTTTTCCGGCACCGGGTCATTATTTGATAGTTAGCACGTGTAGTTTTAAATGTGCTTAAAAGGACAAATTAGTTGGTAAACAACATTATTCACACTTGCCAACAGGTGTGAAGAAAATGCAAGAGGACATTTATTGCATTAACATTTTACTAAGCATGTATATTTACATTAACATCACTAAAATATGTTTCAGGGAGGGGGTGAATTCTGTACGTGACAGTAATTAGTCATTTCAATTATTGACGGTCATGACCAGCACCCATTCTCTGAATATGTTCTGATTTTATACGTCGTGTTATAATGCACACTGCGACATTTTCTTTCTAATTAACTGGACTGCATAATGCTAATTTAAGATGTACGGTTATACCGAATTAGATTTTTCTCGCTCATTGACTAGTCTGTGCAATAGCCGTTATGCCACCGCCTGGCTCAAATTAACATGAAAATTGATACCATTACTTAGATTTAATTAATCGATGATGTTTACATTTAGAAGATTTTATAACTATCACTACGGTCTGAAATATAAAACATCTATGAATTCCATGGCATTAAAATCCTTTTTGATTTCATCACCCTTTTCTCCAATAATAGAGCTCTTTTAGATTCCATCATTAATTATAAACCGTTTTCTCTTTTAATATTGCGTTTCTATAATTGTGTTACATAGTACGATTGATAACCACTGCTGACGGGTTATTAAGTCTACGTGTTTGGGTCGCTTTAATATAGATCTCTACTAATTACTTTACAGACTTGATACCATCTACCTTCAGATTCCATCTAGTAGAGAGAAACATAAACGACGCCCACGTGTTTGTGTGGATCGCATCACAAGACGCGTCTATTCCACAAATCTTTATTAAACTAGTATTGATTAGTGAATTGAGAGTAATTTTGATCAATAGTTACATGTTATCTACTTCATATAAAGACGGGCATCCTCGTATGTTGGCGACTCGCCCAGAGCCTAGAGGCCACTCACACATTATTAATTAATTGAAATGGATTTTAGAGAAACCTACTAAATTCAATTACCTATTCCATTATACCCATTGATGGTTTCTCTCACGTTTCTTGTTAGACAATTATAAATCAAAATAACATATGTTTACATATTATCTACATCTAGATGGTGAATCCTGTTGCATGATGTTCAAATTAGACTGGTTCATATTTCTCTATTGGAACTCGGCTAACGCTCATATTGTGGACAACCTTATGGGCAGTTGAAAATTGTCCATTTGATCTGGCTGAAAATTGTTGCTTTACTGGTCCTAGTAAAGCTACTAAATATAAAAACAACAAAACTAAATACAACAGTTTAATAGAAGTTTATATACAAACAGTAACATGAGAAATAAACAGCAATTGATAAAACTCAAAACAATGGTAAATACTAACATAAAGCACTAAATAGAACAACTGAATCATTTAAAGCTATATATTTACATATGAATATCATACACATTTACACACCATACAATAGATTTAACCTATTTCATCAATCCAATATATTGAGTTTTTGCAAACAGTAAGTACAGATTTTATTTCAACAAAGAGTTAAATCTAGATTTTGAGAGCCCTTGAGTTTACGGAGAAGTATTTAAAGCCACTGGCATACATCATGTTATTTTGGTTGAAAGGTGTTATTGACTTTTAACTACATACAGGCTAATTTATTTTATCAAGTTCCAATAACACCCACATACTAGTATGGATAGATTTGTCAACATATGTAGATGGATAATAATACATTATTTTAGATTAAACTTATAAACAATTAATATCTTGAAATATAAGATACAATTGATCAGATAATACTAGTGAACTAGTTATTATTTATTTATCAAGATTCATCAGAGTTTTAAAATGACCTTTATTCTGACTTTGTTTTTATTATCACTAATGTTGATCCGTACATTAAAGTAACAAAATTATTGAATTAACCTATAATAAATAAATATATTACAAACCACAAAACGTAAGCGAGGCTACAACTTTACATACTTTTAATGTAGAACCTAGTAAACTTATACAAGTCAAATATCATAATATTAATAATATTATGGGATTTCAAAATCTGGATGATTCAGCTCACGTACATTTCCAGACTTTATTTGTTAAACATACATAATGCAAGAGCTAAATCTGCCTATTTCGGGTCTTTCTTTAGGTCTGAAATGTTACATGTATCTAAATTATTAATTAGACATTAATTAACTTATCCAGACCTTAATCCACTCTCGATGTCATCACTAGCCGGCAATATTTACTGGATTAGGATCCGATTTGCTGCTCAACTTTCATTCATGATTTAATCATGAAATGGATAATCTAGACTGTTTTTTATTGTACCGACTTTAGTAATGATGATAGCGGCTAGGGCGAAAATTCAATCGCTAAATTCTCAGTTCAGGATTTTCGGCAAATACCCTTTACATTATCTAGTTTTGAACTATTATATTGAAAACTGTCAGCTCTTTATCTAATCTCCCATAATGTATCTTCAATGAATTTGTCTATGAGCAAAAATAACACTAATCTACTGAAGGAGTTTCAATATCTTTACATCTAGCCCACTCAATCAATAAGTTTTCATTTCAGTTGTTAAATATTAATGTGATTGTTTCATACAAATAACACTGTAATGAAGCATTGTAGCATGAGCTTAAAAATTAAATGTGCTACATATATCAGGTTACAAAGTGAGATGAATAAATATTAATCTTAATGCTTGTATTAGATACAGCTTTGTACAATTCACTTTTTATACAGTATCATGAAATATTGTACAATATACATGCACTGTTCATAAGAATGTTAACAGGTTTTAGGAATTAATTCTACATCAGGCAGTGCAGGCAACAAACTCCAAGCTACACACACACAAGCTCAACAATTTTATGTATGAACAATCTGCATTCAAACATGTGTATATTATACACTTTACAAAGTACCAATAACGTTCAGGTTCTACCTATAACAAGCATACTGCACCTTTGTTTCTGATGATAAACAAAAAATGATATATGGCATGGCATAACATTTCAATATTGCAGTTAACAAGTTTTGGTCCCGGTTTTCACAGCATGAACCGGAATAATGGAATTGCATTGAAATAATTGTAGATGTACATGTACCTAGTATGGCACCATTGTTTGTTCTTCAAGTAATATTTAATTCTACCACATAGGATTAGCGATTATCGGATCGGCAGCTTGTGGCTGGTGAACTGCTGATGTTGACATTTGACGCACACATTGTTGAATATTCTGCATTCGCTGAGTGAGAACATGTTGGTTAGCTATTAACTCTTCCATTTCGTGAGCTTCTAACAAATTATATTCTAAATCACAGTCAAAAATCTCTTGGAAAGATGATAAGAAAGGACCAATGGCGTCACTGAGTGGAACTTCTTGTCCTGTCTCCTTGGTAAGAGAGGTAACTTCTTTTCCCTGAAGTCCACAAGGTACAATATGTTTATACCAGTTTAAATCAATGTTGCTGTTCAGTGAGCATCCATGAGTTGTGACAAAGCGACTACCATGTACACCTGAAAATATTCCAAAGATACACATTTAATTTAGAATTTGAAATCATTATTTTTTAGCATTGAATGCCTTGGCAAAAAACAGATTACACCAAATACCATTATTAAAACACCCCATCATGCCATTATAAAGATGAAAAGTAAGAGTTTACAACCGTACACAATCAAAAATCATTTACTAAACATATTTGGAAGAAGAAAGGATGGATATCGACTGTATTCTTCCTTCAGCAGCAGTAGCAGCAATAAGAAATCTGAATCAACCACCAATGTCTTGGAGTCTCAAACAGGATAGGGGTTCTACAGAAATCAGCTTTAAATGGGGCCTCTCAGAAAATTCATTACCCAGTCTGGAAAAAAAATATCATTCTTTTGCCAAAAGACAAATGGATAGACAGCGGCAGCTAGAATTTTTTGCTAAGAAGGATGCCCAAAAAGTACAGATTTCTGTGGTCTCCAGTAAAAAGGATGTGGGTGTCCAAAATGTTCCTGATACTAAAGATGTGGCTGTTGGGAATAACCCTGTGTTAATGGTGACAAGAGAAACAATGTATCATCCTGCCAATAGCCATGATAAAGGTTGTCAAATAAATTTTGACAGTGAGGCAGCGATGAAAGATGTTTCAAGGTCTAGTGCCAAAAGTACCAGCAGTCAAGACCATCGACATGTAGGAATTTGTTCAACAAATCCACCTGTACAAGTATCCGACAAAGTGCTTAGACAAAGAGTTAAGAACACAAAACAAGAATATCTTATTCAGTGGAAGAATTGTCCAGCAACTTAGAATTCTTGGGTTCTGGAGGAGGAACTAGATTATAGTGCTCAACAATACATAAATGCGAATTCAAATAGAATACAAGGACCCAGGTTACGTTTACCTGATGAAAAAGTTAACCAGTACAATTTGCAAGAACATTATTTTATGCCTCACATGAATCCTATGTACAGAAACAGAAATTATTATCAAGAAAAAAGGGATAGATTATTTTACTTTGATTAATCGAAAAATAAGGATTTTTGATTTTATTAAATGCTTAAAACATGGGGTCATGTTTTTGTTTGAAGTAAGGGGGATATATGACCGATGTCTAGGTCATGTGTTATTTTATTATTTTCAATTCTGTTTTAAATTTCAAATCTATATTTTAATTTTCATTAATGCTTGGTTAGTCATTAGAGGCAGGCAGCAATTAACCTGTCAGTCAAATTATGACAGGCTGGCAACTAAAGTGGTTGATCTGTTAAGTCTCATCTAACTATTGTTTTAAATGCCTTAAGTCTTAATCCTTCAATAATTATATGTTTATGTCAACACTTTCTAAGTAACTGATTTCTATAAATAGACAAATGTATGTTAGGGAACCTATACTAGTTGGAGGTCCGATACATAGGAAATTATAAGTTGTTAAATTGTTGCTGTTAATTATTTGCTGCTGAAATAAAGTGTTGAAGATCCATTCCAAGAATCTGTATTCATTTCTGATACTTAAAGAACACGTGTCGACGAGCTACATTCCCTGAAAGTCGAACAGTGTTATATGGTAAATTTCAGATTTCCATCAACAGTATATTTCTGTCTCAAGTATTTTAACATCTGTCTATTTACATGTAAATATCACATGAGGTTTCTACTGACATAAAATGGGGCAAAACAGTCCATAAAGAGCATGTTTGCATGTTTTCTTTAAATAAACTTGAGAAGTTTTGTTTAATCAATCCATTGAGAATCCTTGACACACAAAATACTACTAGTTCAAGGCTGCTCTAATTTTCTCAAGCTAAAATTCAGGTTAGTGTGTCAACTGTTAATCAAAGATTTTATTTGAAAACTAAGTTTTCTCAATTACATATAAATGTATATTGCAATATAAGATTCCGTTTTTTATTTGTGATGGGTAAATGCACAATGAATAACCATTTGTGCTGTACATGCACATTAATTTCAAATTAAATATTAAGTACGACAATGTTCACAGTTGGATATCTACATGTAGACAGAATTGAATACATAGAATTTTAGAAAGATCTTTGTTACATAAACATAATTCTTACCAATTGATGCAATTTTTCGGTCTTCCACCCATACTCCAGTGTCAGCTGTTGTTCGAGCAGTTATTCCAAATTTTTGACAGGTTTTGATAAGTGTGTTTTCTAATGCTGAAATGTACCACTTCATACTGGGCTGAAAATGTTGAAGATTCAAAACTGGGTAGGCAACTAGCTGACCTGGTCCATGAAAAGTTATTAAGCCGCCACGATTTGTCTTGTAATACTCAGCACCTAATGACTTTAATCGAAAAGCATCTTCGTGGCTGTATTGTTGATTACGAATCCCTACAGTGTAGACTGGGGTATGCTCTACCAAGAGTAAAACATTTGTGCCCTTACTAGATGGCTTTCCTGCCAATTCATCCAAATGTTGTCTAGCATGTCGCATCTGAACATCATTGGCACGTAAATATCCCATACGCCCTAAGTTAATCACATTGACAACACGCTTTCCAGCAGTCATTTTGCACTGAAACCAAAAGAAGAATGACATATTAAATAGAATGACATATTAAATAGAATATGTCATAGTCTAGTAATAAAATACACTAATTTTACATGTAATAATATCCTCAACATACAGTAGATCTAAACATAATATAAACTACAGGCCTAAATATAAAGATCTATTTTGTCTTTCATGCCTACATGTACATGTATTTAGCTTTTTAACTGTCTTCTGGGCTGGTTTCTACATGTATGATATTGACTTAATCCCAAACTGATTGAGTACCAATAAAACACCAAATTGATTTTTGGACCAATGATTAATCACATAAGGTCTAATTAATTGACATACTTGTCCTAGACCAATTTAATTATAGATAAATTCAAGGTAGGTTTTGAAAAAACATTACAGGAATATTAAAAGCCGATTTTAAGCCCACTCTAAAACTACTCTACATGTACATCGGACATATTTAGTTCAATCCTGTTGTTAAGTTCAACATTTGCGATCCAGCCAAACAAAATTCACAGAAAAATAAAAATGGTGGACCCCCCCCCCCCCAAAAAAAAAAAAAATCTCTACTTTTTCTGCGACTTGCTCAATTCCAGTCCAAGGTTCTAATAAAATTTATAAAATCAAGAAAACTCACCACTTAGTACTAACAGTCTTTAGTTTAGATACAGGAAAACAGATTAAATATCTGCAATTTCCCGGAATCTGAGACCGTGTCTGCTAGTTCTTTGCTTTGGCCGTTCTTCTTCTTGGCTTACGTGACAAACAAAACGCACTCCAGTCCAAGTCCAAATCTGATGAAATAGAAATCTAACAACAGACTATATCTAATGTTTTCTATGTCAGCAGTGCTGGCTCAACTAAAATACCATATTCAAGTTCAAAAGAACTTCTCTTCATGAGTGCACCAGTATAAATGACATAAAATTGCAAGCACGCCGGGTTTAATAGTTGTCAAAAAAAAAATCACGCTTCATCAAACTGTCTGCTATGTTTACAATGCCTTGACATTCAACCGTGAAGAGATATCAACTTCTTTATTTTCATTGGTCGACCACGTGTTATTACCGGAAGTATTTATTCACCAATAGAAAATACCGTTTCATTAAAACACCGCCAATTTCAAAGTGTTGCAAACGAGGCCATAACAATGGCGGACCATAAATTTTTAGAGGTTGTAAGAGAAGACGGTAAGTAATAGCAGTTAAACACTCTGAAAACAGACAAAATAAAGCATATATTGATAATAGCCTTTGATTCATGCAATGAGGAATGTATTTCATGTTGTTGTATTACTTAAAACGCTTTTTATTTGAAACAATTTGATTTGTTGGTCCACCATTTTTTTTTTTTTTTCTTCAAATGATGAAATAACAATAGATCTAGGCCTAAATGTATTTAATTTTTCATATTGACATATTCCCCAATTTAAAAACAAAGGAGTACTATCAAGATATTTAGTTGATAATGCATCAGTACTTACCTTGTTTTGTGTAGAAAGCGGCTAAGCGGATTGTATATTTTGATTTAAAATTGTAAACTCAAACTGATTTATTTTATTTTTTTCTACTCTTAATGAGTATTATTTAATTTAGTCTATTGGCTAAATCATTTTTGCCTTATGAAATGTCAAATGACGAACTTTAGGTTATGCATCCTTGGTGCATGATCATTGACATTAGAAATGGTTCCACTACTAATGTCTTACGTCTTACTCCAGCCACAGTAGGCCTAGTGGACCGTCCTACGGCCTTCCTTTGCGCAAGTTTTCTAGTCATTTGATTACAAAAAAATTTACTGGCCTATAACTCCCTTAATTTCCAATTACACTGGCCTCAAACTGTACTGCACATAGCTTAACATATAATAAACCAATTCCCATTGAAATACAGGTGAAACCTTACCACATAATTATATGATTTGATTTAACCCAACTGCAATGCGAAATTTTTGTTCAGTTAAAATGGCGGCCGTACCAGAATCATGTGATATTATATCACTCGAAAATACAGAAAAACTGTTCTGTATGATAAGATTATGATTTCTGTGTTTCACTCTTCACTATCTATTTGTAACATAATCACTTATTTCCATGCAAACTATGATGATATGTGTTGAAAATTTGCACCTGAACCTAATTTTACTTGCGCAAAGAGTCGAATAGTGTATCAATTGCAGCCGTAGATAAGAATTATCTCGGCTGAAAATTGCAGCTCACGTTCATCTATTCATGTATCTACCATATTCTCCAACTATTAGTAGGCCTATTAAATAACTAAGGCATAGTTTAGCTGTTTAGCTCACCATCGTGTCCATAGGCCATAGTCGTAGTATTTTTAGTAGGCCTACCGGTAAATAATAATAATAATAAATTTATAAATAGTTAATAAACCAAATCCCCTGATGTAAGTTGAAAATTCATGCAATACCATACATAAAAAAAAATAATATAATAAAGATAACATGTCATGTCATAATAATAATTAAATCTCCTACCATTTTGGAGTTTTACCACTGCCAAGGAATAGGGTTGCCTGTCCAACTTGTGGGTTTTCTGTTGTTGTTGTTAGTTAGTTATATTTTACGTCCGCTTCCACCGAGGGTTTTCTTTGAGTCCTCCGGTTTTATCCCACTGCTAAAGACCCCTATGCACAAGCCAATTATTGAAATAAAATTGAACCCTATGTTAGTCCCGAAATGAACTAGTTTGTGTAGAGTGGACATTAACCTCATTTCTCTCTCTCGATCACCAGGCATACAGATACTATAGCGATAAACAAAGATATCAATGGTACATGAAAACATTTTAAACAATGTTTATTATTAGACATGTCATTCTCTATCATTCCCGCAGATATTCTCCATCAACATCTGGTGGCATATTAGGCTGTATAACATCGTATTCTGTTGGCTGATTAGCTAGCGTTCAATGTCAGAATGGAAACGAAGGTCAATATGTTCGGTAAATAATTATGGTCGCCCTAGCAGTGACCGTATTGTTACGATACGGCAAACCAATACGCAATGCGTATCGTGATATGATTACATCAGTGTCATCACAAATTATGTCAAAAATAATCTCAAACTACATTCTGTTTTAAGATGTTTGAGATAGGTAAGCGAGGTACCGTAGGATATGAGTTAATTATAAGCTCCATTCCCTGTAACTAGACTTCAACAATAGAGTCAAGTAATTAGATTAGGGCCTACCCTAGTTTCTGTCAAGTGGTTCTTAAACCCCATCTCTCTCTCGCTCGTTCTTTCTCTCTCTAAAAGTACACTGTTCAAAGATGTTACAGGTTAGGGATGATAATTATTTATTTTCTATATATTATAAATAAGCTCACTTGTAATTGTATATATTAGTAAATATTAGATCCAAAGACTAATTATATATAATAAAACACTATTTATACTGATTTATAGCTTGATGCTTTTGTATTGTGTCAATTAAAAAGGCATCAAAGATTCTCTATTTTTGTATGTTGAGTAGACCTAGTTGTAGAATGTCAATGTAGGAGCGTAGATCCGATGGTTTTGGTTTCTTTTTTTTAATATAGCTTTTTAGCCTTCTTTTTTCCCCTTTTAAATACATGTATTTTGTATTATGTTATATTCATACTGCATGTGTTGATTTATTTTATCTTTGCTTTGTTACCATTTAAATGTGCCACCCAATTGGTAATTATCTATAAAATGTTTGAATATATGTAGGCCTACTGATTGGCTTTGTTCATAGTTAACTTTGACTTTGTGGTTTCTTTTGGGACAAAACCTTTCAGTAGGCTGGTCCTAAAATAGTAAAATTATTATGATTTGTACTTCGCATCTCAAATAAGAGTATTGGGTGACTCATTTACTTGGAGTAGTTTATTTTTGGTTTTAGTTGTTGCGTTAGCGTTGTTTTGTTTGTTGCAGTTTACAATTCAAATGGAAAAATGCACACAATACAAACAAGGTGTGAGTATAAAACTAACAACAGAACACCAACTAAGTCATCTTATGTTGCTTCACCTAAAAAACTACCTGGTAGGTCTCAATATATCCAATTATATTTATATTTCTGTTAAAAGCTAACAATCTTTAAGCAGCAAGTTTGGGATAATAACACCATACATACATAATACACTTTATTATTATTTACTGCATTTATTGTACTACATAGCACAGCACTGTTTAACATTCTGTAAATATTTATTATATCAGTGACCTGTATTTGAATTAATAATAATACCCACCTTTTGATTTGTCTTTACCGTGTTCAAGAACACATTTCTAATTTCTAACTCTTAGGAAATTCCATCTGTTATCTTCCCACCCAAGCATTCATTTTATGGAAAAGCTAAGAGATCTATTTTGGGAGGGATGGGTCTCAAACATAATGTTGTGCTTTATTTTGAGTTATTGAACAGTGATAACTTTTTTGTGTTGAGCTTCTAATGTTTGGTTTGATGAATTCACTTTAACAAACACACATACTTTTGAATGATAAAGAATTTAAGTTACCAGGCTGTGAACATGGTGGCAGTGTTTTAATAATTCTGGTGGTGGACTTTAATTTACTATATCAATAGAAAAATTATTCAGATGTCTCAAGTTTGTATTTTTATGGAATTATTGATCTTTCATTACACTCACCCATATGCTAGTCTTACAGCTGATGATCTTGAATATTGAAATGCAATCACCTTTAATGTTGACAACAATCCTCTATAACTTCTGTCAAGTTTCAAAGGATGTATTTTTCACACTTGATCATGATGTGAATATAAGAGCTGATAATCGGACATTCACCTATTGTGGTAAAAATGTATTGTCTTTAGCCCTCGTTAAGATACAATAAATACATATAAAGCTGAGTTTAATTAATAATTGATAAGCTTTTTACTGTAGATACCGTAATGTGTGAAAGAAAAGAGGGGGGGGGCATATTCTTGGAAGGGTAAACTTGCACTTATTTCTGGTTTATCTGAAAATATTTGCCAGGTTGACAAGATGTTGAAGTGATAGACCCACTAACCTCCAGGAAGATTTTTTACATGTACCCTGATTGATACATCCTGTGCAGTGAAATTTTTTATGACAATTTTATTCATGTTGTGCAACAAGTTCTCACCCTTATTAAACTGTATTGCCACAGTATCGACTGCATATTTTAACCTACACTCTACAGTATGGTGTCATTTTTATGTTACCAAAACCTTGGAGTTGGTGTGAAGTGGTGTTATATGTTAATATTTAATGATAATGTGAATTTTTGTTATATATTGGATATATAATGTTTGCAAATATATTTTTCAGATGGTAAGGAGGTGAGAGTAGTTTTAGTTGGAAAAGAGACACAAGAAAACACAGAACTTAAAACTGCATTACATGTGAGAGTTTATACAAATAACTAGATACTTATCTCATTCTGTTACTGTAATAATGATTTGAGACTTGTTGAATATTGGCTAACAATGTGAAGTAAGAAGACTACAATTCAGAATGACAGCATGGGAAAAATCTTCTTAAATTTAAATATTTTTGTTTTTGAAAGACGTACGTGTAGCAAATAATGAAGCTGATATACTTGTAAATTATGTTTTATGTTAATCATTGTAACATAAATACGGTCCTGTTACAAAATATTAGAATTATTGGTTTGCCAATGTATGATATAGTTTGATAAGATTACTATCACTGACATAGCACATACATGTACAGCAACTGCATCAGGTTAGCTTTTTATACCCGCCAAAAATTCAAGTACAAACTGTATACCAAAAGAATTTTTTGTAGAATGATTTTATTATCATATATAAAATAATGCAATTAATAGACGTCTTACAAAACCAATTTTTTGATTGTAATTGCTGTAAAAAATTATAAATCAAAAATATATTTAAAATTTCTTAAAGATAATCTTATTTCAGTGTTTAAAAGTAGTTAGTTTAGTAATAACATTAAAGAAACATATTCCAGTGAGTATTGAAAAATATATCATTTTAGCCTGTTCATATTTAACAAAGTAATTTTTCTGTTTTTATATTGTAGAATGTTGATGTAGAAATCGTGACATCTGATACAGGATTAGATTTTATACATGATGCTGGGGAATATGAAACTATATTTGTTGTTAGTAGTTTTGAAGGGGATGTATATCACAGATTGCACAGAGCAGAAGCCAGAATTCTTGGACCTTCGTCAGTCATTAAATCAGCACAAAATAAAGAGGTAAAGTACTTTTGTCCCAGAGAAAATTATTAGCTTGGTAGAAATAGCTTAATATAAGGGGCATTATGGTAGATTAGATAAAGGGTGTACAGTTCTCACTATAATAGTTAAAACATAGGTCATGTAAATAGAATATGCTGAAAATTTCAGAAAAATGCCCCATTTTGAACCAAGATATTAGCTTTTGAATTTTAGACTAGCCTCGATCATCATTACTAAAGTTAGTACGATAAAAAAATAAAGTCTCCATTATCCAACTTTACGTTTAATTATTATGTATTTCAATCTGCTAAATATGGCAAGCCACGAGAATTGATTATGGTGTGGATAAGTTAATTAATGTCTAATTAATAATTTAGATAACATTTCAGGCCTAAAAGACCTGCAATAAGCAGATTTAGCTCTTGCATAATGTATGTTCGATTTACATAGACGTTTTCATACAAAAATATTTAGGGAAAGATTGTTGCCCCTTTATTAATAGCAACCATGCTGAGAAAGTATTTTTTCTTTAAACCAGAAATACCAACAATAACTTTTACTTTGTCAGATTCTTTAATCTTCTGCAGATTATTGTCCCTTTATTAATGGGCACCTCGTGGCAAAAATATTTTTTCTTTAAACCAGAAATGGCAACAATAACTTAATCTTTTGTCAGATTCTTTAATTTTCTGCAGCATACAATATTAGTCTCTAAAAACAAATTGGTGGGTATGATTTGAAACCCATTTTATATAGGGCCTTAATTTCCCAATGTCTTAATTTTCCCTCTTTTTCTTTTATTCTAGGCTTTTCCATTTTCACAGCGACCACTGTACTGTTCATCAATGAATGGACTTATTATATGTTTTACTGGTTTTAAAAAACGAGATCAGTTAGTAAGTATGAGATCTTTCATACATGAGTATGGTTTGGGTGGCCGAGTGACCTATAAACTTGTACCTGTAGATCATGGTGTACATATGTTATTGACCTCTTGCTTGTAGGGTTTTTTGACCGGGATAAAGATTCACATACCTGATTGTTTACTAATTATGGCACTGGTTCTAAGATTTCATTTTACGATTCTTTGCGACACTATTATCAAGAAGTATTTCTGAAATAAACCGCATTCTCCTTAAGCGATATTCATTGAAATGATAGGTTTAAACAAGGTTTGCACAGAGTGGAGTTAAAGACTTAGTTTTGTGTCATGAAAAATGATCATTGTGAGGATAGGGGAGACAACTTCAGATACCAGTTTCAAAGAGTAATGTTAATGCTGTCAAGTAAAGGTACATGTACTATGGTGAAAAAAATGACATATTCCTGGTTGTGCATTTCAGTTCTAATATAAAATTTTTTATATGTTTTAATTGAAACTGTAATTGTATTATTATAGTGTCATCTAGTTGATTTAGTACATCATATGGCAGGAAGTGTTAGAAAAGATATAACAACAAAAGTTACACATCTTGTAGCTAACTGTACTGGTGGTGAAAAATACAGAGTAAGTTAATATTTGATTTAAAGAGTAGGTGTTCATCAAAAACAACGCCCAATGTGGGAATTTATTTTAGAAACACTCACTGAAATGCCATGAAGGTTTAAAGTATAAAAATGGTTAATTCTGCTTTCTTCATCAGATGTAGATTTAATTCGAAACGTCTGTATAAAAGTGTAGTAACTCTTCTAAGGAGAATAACTTGTATATGAAACTAATTATTAACAATTATTGATATTAGCCATTAAAATGACTTTAACAATAGTGCACTGAAACAATTATAATACGCCAGACAAACTGGAACTTGTTTTGTATTACATTTTGATTTTTTTGGAAAAATATTTCAGATTAACCCATTTTAATTCCTACATCGACGATTTTAGTCAAAAACGCTTAGTATGCGTTTATAAATTTTAAGAAGTATTTATTTCTCTTCTATTTTCATACTGAATGAAATTTAATATGTTTATTTAGCCGTTGTGTGTATGAAAGATTTCAAACGGATTAGAGCCAAAGCACAAAACAGTTCACTATTTATTCAATATGGCAGCACCCATGAAAGATATACATTCACAGAAGTGGCTTTGTTTGCGAAGAAAAATTTAGGAATATCTAACCTTGTTTTGAAAGATAAACAGATTGAAACTTTAAAGGCAGTTTACAATCATAAACACTGTATTGCAATATCACCCATTGGCACATATATATCATTTTTTCCGGAATAGCAGAAGTCAACATTTTGCTAACTTGCCATATTTGTTTACATAAACCACGTGCTTTGGGTATAAATAGCAGTATATATATATATATATACGTCATTGACCTTACAGGTCGATAAGTCCCGCCCCAAAATGATCATGTGAGCATTTTAAATGGACGGCATTTGGCGCAGTGATATATTCTCGAGGTATGAAGTAGATGCATCGCTGTGTGCAGCATGAGATTAACCTTTTGAAAATTGATATTATATATACCTTAAAATTCAAAACCTAATGAAAATAACTTCTACTGCTTAATAAATATCCATGAACACCCATAATTATAATAATAATAAAGAAATAAATAGGTAACTTAGACATTCTGAGTGATTTTGATTTGTTAGTTTGAACAAGTTCAAATCAAATACAGATATGTATCCAAATCAATGTCATATTTTAAGAGAAAATATCATGTGTAAATTTGTCAATCAAAATGAATAAATTGTCAATTTCAAGATAATATTATTTACTTGTAAATAATAATAAATTATTTAATGAATATTTAAATTTAACATCATGACAATCGCTATATTAGTATTTGAACAAAAATTGTAAAATTCACTGTGCAAGTGTTTGATTTAGAACTGATTTCATGAACTACTGTAGTCAAAGAATTATTGTCCTTGATTTTGCCAATATTGTATATATGAGAAATAGCTTGTGAAGGAAGACCTTATTTATTCATCAGTTTCTATTAGATTTTAATGAAATTTAGAATATGGCTGTAGATCTATAAGATTAAAGATCTTGGATGTTTTCTGATTTTAACACATTCAATAAAATAAAAAAAAAGGACCCTGTAAATGAGCAAACTTCAGAATAAAGAGTAAGCTTATTTCAAAATCAAAGGCCAGTTTCTGTAGTTTGTCTAGTGTTTTAGACTTTTCTTGATAATGTACTATGAGTATGACGGAAGTATTACTGCATTCAACTACATGTATCTTTTAATCTTTTACAATGTATTGCTCTATGTCAATACATGTACATCAGTGAGTACATCCATTGTATTTTTGATGTGTTTTGTTTATTTAGTGTAGTAGGCTACATCTCCTACTTGTACCAGTTTTTATGTTGACCTCTGACCTTTTATATATATATAGTTTGCTGTTAGTGTGGGCACACCTATTATGAGTGAAGATTGGGTACATCGAGTGTGGGCTGAAAGGGATAACCATGATATGAAAGCTGACAGTGACAAAATGGTAGGATTTAGTTTTAACATTATTAGGGAATAATAATTATTATGAACTATTGAAACTTACATGTATATAATTTGATAGTTCAACTGAAATCTAAATGTGCGTTCATTCGTTAAGAAAGAGCAATGCTTTTTTTTTGCAAGTTGTTGCTAAAACTGTCTTTTTAGCCCAATTCAAACTTTTTGCAAAACATTAAATTTGAATAACAAGTGTATGTAATTCCATAATATTGATAATATTTTAATAATAAATGTGTATGTATACATCATTGATAATAATATTTAATCACCAAGTGTGTATAGACTATTTCCATTAATATTTTTATCATTTGTCATTTAGATGTCATATAGAGTGAAACCGTTCTATGAATGCTGTCTCAGTTTTGTTGGATTTACATCTGATGAACAGAAACATATGGAAGAACTAACTATAGAAAATGGTGGGTTTTCTAGTTTATTTTAACTTCATTTGGCAGCTAAATATGAAATAGGGTTTCACTCCCTACTTTCCTGCACCAATCAAGAATTGGATGAAGAGTAGGGTTGTTGGGTGGATGAATGTTTATCTAACACAAATGGATCCTAAGATCTTGTCAATGAGTCAACTGGAGTCGAGTCCCCAGCCTAACCTTATGGGGTTTTTTCCCGGTCCTCTGGTTTTCTCCTACGCACCAGTGAATTATTGAAATAAAATTTATCAGATGTTATTCCAGAAATTACCATGTTGGTTGAGTAGACATGAAACCCAATTCTTTTTGACAAAAAGAAGGCAGAAACTATGTTGTCCGTGCAAAATTTCTCTCACCACACTGTATCATTAGCTGGGGGATCACAGTGGCTAAGTGGGTAGGATGCTGGCTCGCTAGCCTGGAGGTCAGGTGTTCGTTCCTTTCCTGCATTGGCCGTGAAAGTTCATCCAGATTTTCCGGCGTGGTTCCCCCTTGTCAGTGATGCAGGACGGAGGGCCTGACAAGGACAGCTGTCTAGTTGTTTGGATGGTACGAAAAATCGAGGTCTCGTGTACACATTGGCATGCCCATAAAAGATCCCTTGACAGTTGGAATTCGATATAAGAGTAGGCCGTAGTGCCGCTGTCCGAGCAAAATTTCCCTCATAGCACACTGTATGGCATATGCCCTTCTTCATTAGCCCAATTCGGAGCAGAACAGTAGGACGTTAAACTCCATTTCATTTCATCATTAGCTGGGTTTGTGCAGGAAAGTAGGACGTTAAACCACTGGTTCATTTCAACAGATATATGGTCGATACATTATGTTTAAATTACCTTGTTTATTTTTTTCGGAATATTACATTCTGCAGTATGTTTTTATACGCCCACATTTTCATGTGGACGTATATTGTCGTCGCCCCTGTCCGTCTGTCCGTCCACAATTTGTTTGTGGACTCTCTACAGGTCACAATTCTTGTCTGATTTTGACGAAACTTGAAATATAGCTTTATCCCAAAAAAATCTCGGCTGCTTTCGATATTGGCATGTATCGGATCGAAACTTCGTGGATTATGGCCCCTGTTTGTACGAAAAATCACATTTTTAGCTTGTGGACCCTATAGAGGTCACAATTTTTATCCGATTTTGTTGAAACTTGAAATGTAAGTTTATAACCCAAAGATCTCAGTTACTTTCGATATTCGCGCATATTGTACGAAAAATCGCGTTTTTAGCTTGTGGACCCTATAGAAGTCATAATTTTTATCCGATTTAAAAAACCGTATTAGTATATCACCGTTACACCCTAAGGACGACTGAGTTCGAATTTCGTGAAAATCGGCCCAAAATTGACAGACAAAATGGCCGCCGATCGTTCTCAAATAGCGTAAAAATATGGTATATCAAGGTTGTGGACCCTATAGAGGTCATAATTTTTATCCGATTTTGTTGAAACTTGAAATGTTATTTTATAACCCAAAGATCTTGGTTCCTTTCGATATTCGTGCATATCGGACCTTAACTTCCTGAATTATGGTCCCTGATTGTATAAAAATTGCGTTTTTAGCTTGTGGACCCGATAGAGATCATAATTTTTATCCGATTTAAAAAAATGTATTATTATATCCCCGTTACACCCTAAGGACGACTCAGTTCGAATTTCGTGAAAATCGGCCCAAAATAGACAGACAAAATGGCCGCCGTTCGTTCTCAAATAGCGTAACAATATGGTATATCAAGGTTGTGGACCCTAAAGAGGTCACAATTTTTATCTGATTTTGTTGAAACTTGAAATGTAAGTTTATAACCCAAAGATCTCAGTTCCTTTTGATATTCGCGCATATCGTACCGTAACTTCCTGAATTATGGCCCATGATTGTACGAAAAATTGCGTTTTTAGCTTGTGGACCCTATAGAGGTCATAATTTTTATCCGGTTTAAAAAAACATATTATTAGATCACCGTTACACCCTAAAAACAGCTAAGGTCGAATTTCATGAAAATCGTCCCAAAATTGACAGACAAAATGCCCGCCATTAGTTCTCAAATAGCGTAAAAATATGGTATATCAAGGTTGTGGACCCTATAGAGGTCATAATTTTTATCCGATTTTGTTGAAACTTGAAATGTAATTTTATAACCCAAAGATCTCGGTTCCTTTCAATATTCGCGCATATCGGACCTTAACTTCCTGAATAATGCACCCTGATCAGGCATCGATATTTCCGCGCACGGCGTGCGCAGGCACAATTGCTTTAAAAAAAAAATTTGCAGGCACATTTTTAAAGATGTAGCCACCCCGGCGACGCCTGCGCCCGGCACTATTTTTTGCCGCCCAGCACAAAGAAAAAATCGAAGAAAGCCGCCCAGTCGTATTTAAACCCCTTCGTCCTTCTCTGTACACAAACTAGGAGCTCAAAATTTACCACGACAATTAAACGGCAAAGCCATGGTAAAAGCCGATGTACGCAAACCATGTCTGTCACGGCATAATTTATTTTTGTGTGCCGTAGTAGACCCTATCATCCCAAATTAGTTTAAAGAAAGATGTATTGGTATTTTGTTTATTTATACTTAGAAGATGTGTAGGCCTAGGTATATTCATTTTACAATTATTCTACGGTCTTTATATTTGTTTATTTGCCGTAAATAGGTCACCCAGACCAATTTACGGCACTCCAATGTTACAGGTTTGAATGTCGTAATTGTCCAACACGTGCCTGCAAATTTTCATGATGTTTCTTATTTTATTTCTTACCTGTGTTGACCGTGGATTTGCTATGGCCCGAGAGTAGGACTAGGAGGACGATGAGAGCTTTCTCAGTTTCTGCCTGACCTGATTCTTATTACAAACAAGTCAAATAATACAACGTGTTGTCATAATTCGTTGCAGTACTCAAATAAAACACAAACACCATTTTAAGAATCGTTTTAATTTTAATCTCGAAGTAATAAAGTAATATTTGAAAAAAAAATCCAACAAATACCGAAAGGTCCTCAACTATCCAGAGAAACAGAGTGGGGTGGGACAATTTTATGCTTGGTCGGGTGGTGTCAAAAAGTTTTTAGATCCCTGTATCATTGATGAAAATTAAGTGAATTTGGTAAAATTTGAATATATAAATGGAAATTTGATTTGCACTGAACCAAATACAAAAGGCAGCAGATGCTCTGAAAATACACCAAGAAGGGTTTATTTTCATAAAAGACCACGCCCCCCAGCCAAAAAAATTTTGCACTCGCTCCGCTCGCCAGATATATTTATACACCACTCACCAAATCATGGCTACATCCCTGTGTTTCAGTATGACCCTGCAGGCACATTTTCAAGTGTGTGCGCAGGCACACTCAACTTTTATAGAGCCCTGTCCCTGATTGTACGAAAAATCGCGTTTTTAGCTTCTGGACCCTATATAGGTCATAATTTTTATCAGATTTAAAAAAACGTATTATTATGTCACCGTTACACCCTAAGGACGACGGAGTTCGAATTTCGTGAAAATTGGCCCAAAATTGACAGACAAAATGGCCGCCGTTCGTTCTCAAATAGCGTAAAAATATGGTATATCAAGGTTGTGGACCCTATAGAGGTCACAATTTTGATCCGATTTTGATGAAACTTGAAATACATATTTATAACCCAAAGATCTTGGTTCCTTTCGATATTCGCACATATTGGATCATAACTTCCTGAATTATGGCCCTTGATTGTACGAAAAAATTACTTCTTTTTTTGAGCTTGTTCTCTGTCCATCTCTTGCAAAATGTGGGCGTATCTCATGAGGTATAATTGTCAGGGAATTTATTATTCAAGTATTAATTTTGGGTTGTTTTTAGGTGGAACATATTGTTCTGTTGGTAGTGAAGAATCAACACATCTAGTTGTAGATGATCATGCTGTAAAAGAATTACCTCCTAATATTAATTTACCTATACATGTTGTACGAGGAGAGGTTCGTATAAATACATATAAACTAAATACAGTAAAAATTTAGTAGTTGGGTGACCAAGTTGTACAACACAAGTTACGGGTTAAGACCCCAGGCTTGTACATATAAGGTATAAGATAGCCAGCTTGACCTTGTGGGTTTTCCCTACGTTATCCAGTTTCCATCAACTTCTTTCGATCCCCTCTGTACAAGAAATTATACCATGCTAGTCCTGAAATGACTTGGTTATCGTCAAGTGGATGTTTAACTCTCTCTTTCTTGATGGCATCCAATGTGGCATTAGGCTTATTTTCATGCTTGCACCTCTAATCTTTCCTGCAATGAAAAGTTATATCCTACATCTCTCATGATTGAATGTCGAAATGATCCCAGAATAATAATGTTTATAGGAAAGGAAAAGACACTTTAGCTCTGTGAATGGGTTTTGGTAGGATGGTGCATGAATTTACACAAATAGCTGGTGCACTCATAAAAGTGCTCAGTGAGTGAGAGGTTGGCTCGCTAACCTGGGGGCCCCGTGTTCAATCTCTGCATTGACCAAGAAAGTTCATCAGGATTTTCTGGCGTGGCTTCCCCTCTTGCCAGTGGTGCCTGACAAGTATAAGCTTATTCGTTTGGACGGGACAAAAGTCTTGGATCCTGTATACAAGCCGGAGCAGAACAGTAGGACGTTAAACCCAATTTCATTTCATGAAGTGTATAGGTAAAGTAAAACCAATGTTTAGTTTTATTAGCATTTGGAACTTGTTGAGTTATTAACTTGAGGATTTATTATTATTGTAAAATAATATTAACATGTTTTGCTGTTGTAGTGGTTTTGGGGTTGTATACAGATGGAAGCCTGTGCTGATGAATCTATTTACACATTTCAAAAGGTAAGAAAAACTCTGAGAATTTTATTTTACCAGCATTAATTTTAAAACTGAAAAAAATACCAAACCTTAAACATACATTATGCAAGAGCTAGATCTCCCTATTGTAGGTCTTTCTTTAGGCCTGAAATGTTATATAAACTATTAATTAGACATTTATTAACATGACAAGACCATAATCAACTCTCAATGCCATCTGATGCTTCCAATTTTCATTAGATTTGAACCTGATCTACAGTTCAAAAGCCATTGATGATTGAACGCAAAAATGGATGATGAATGACAAACGAGGCTACAAGGTTTTTAAAATGAGTATTTATCGACTTAGACAGAAGTAATTTGACTGCAATTTCCAGAATATTCCCATTACATTATCTATTATTTAACTATTATAGTGAGAACTGTCAGCGCTGTATCTAATCTTACATAATGTATCTTTAAGTTAACAATTCCATTACATTTGAAACAGATAGTTAGTAGATGTTCTTCAAATCATTTCACTCTTAAAATGGAGCCAAATATCCAGTTGTACTGTTAACAGCATTTAGTAATTGCACACCTTATTAGCTATCTTTAGAGTATTGTACATGTGAACAAATAGTTTTAAGGAGAATGATGTCAATGTATGTCAGCCTGGGAAGAATAAGTTTTCTTTACCTTCTATATAAATTTGTAAGGTAATAAATAGCCCATCATTTATTTAAAGAAGTAATTGATTAATGAATGAAGTCATCAGTGCTTTCTATTAATTAGTAATTAGCTTATTAGCTGATAGTACTTGTTAAATTTAACACCATATAAACAGGTTAATAGGGCTTGTAGTTCAAGTATGTTGAACTAATTAATACACCTGTTGAGGTGTTGTTAATAACATTATCTACCTTGATACATTACTTTTACAGTGTGTTTTACAATAAACCCTCAAAAATAAATATCACATTTTCCCCAACTGTTAGCTCATTTGAAAACTAATACTCTTTATGCATGTCTGGTACTGGTAGTTGAATTTAAAGAAGAACTTTTATCTGTGTTTCAAGATTTCTTATTAACTATTAATATGGAACTTATTCACCTTGTTCCACAATTATTTAGGATGTGCAAGTTGATAAAAAAGGTAATGGTGATTTGAGAATTTTCATAATATATTTGATCACAAATTCTTGCCTTAGTTTTTGCCTACAAGACTGAAGGATCAACTTTGAGTTCCATTGAAATCTCGTAAATTGCAGATAATACGATTCTCGGCCAGCAGTTACAAACCTTAAATTTGTTCTCCAAATATTGCATTAGCATCATTAGGAGCATATTCCAGCTGTCGATGGGAACACCTTCAACAAACATAAAATTTCAAAAAGTGATGCCTGCACACTGTTCTCAAGACCTCCCCATCCCAGGTATTTAAAAAATAATCAAGCTCAGGATCCGTTCCAGAAAAATAGAGCACTAGTTGATGAGATTACATTTTTTTTCAAATATTTTATTTCTTTATGAGATGTAATAATTTTTTTCAGGCTACCTTGCCAGCAAATTTTTCGTCTAGTAGTAATTTATCAGGATCGAAATCAAGAAAACGGAAACGCCTCAAAGAACTGGTGGCAGAAGGAGAGCAGGAATCTCCATATTTGGCTATCAAACGGCGGTCAAGTGAAGTGGGTGGTGTTTCAATGAGTCCAAATTCATTTCTTGATGCTTCACATACACCTGATAAGTCTGATTTCATCACAGGTACATATTATTATTAATATTTTTCACCCATTTCTCAATCTGATTGAAACACAGATCCTATTTCGTTTTGTTTTTTATAGTTCAAAATTTCGTTTACACTAGGATCTGGAAGAGTTATTATATTACCAGCGTTGAGTTTGAAGTGAAGGATAAGCCAATGAAGTAGTCTGATAAGGTGGCTTCTTGGCGTGCCATACACAGAACTGTGGGTAAACCACTAGAAATGCCAACGCTGATTGATTAATCAATGTCTGACGTCATAGGGTCAAAAGCCGCTCGTACGACCCCTGACACGACCTTCAAGTACAACTTGTCATATCTTCATATAGTGTAGGCAAAAGTATAAAAAAAAAAATAAAAAAAAATAAATCTGTATTTTAATCAGATTGCCCATTTCTGAGAGTAGAGGTCATTAAAAGTCAACTAGGAGTGGAATAGAAGGTTTCATCTGCACATATAAATTGGCTTTGTAGATTAGCTCAACCCAGAGCCTTATAATTTGTTAATCTGTAGCAAGACTTCAGAATTCTACCACCTTGTTATATATTAGAGCGGAAGATTTATTTGGGAACTATGAATGTGTGTAAAGTGGTTTCATTACCTTAGTTATTAATTCGAGGGTGGAATATTGTGTTTTTAATTCTGTCTCTTGAAAAGAAAAAAATTATTGATTGTTTAATGTTGGATTATTTTCAGAGAGTCATGTACATAATGATGAAAATAGAACAGTCCCTCCAACAAATAATAAAATATCACCACGTTTACAAGTTGTTATGGAACTACTTCAAACAGAGAAGAATTATGTGGCCATTTTAAACACTATTCTTTATGTAAGTTATAAATGCCTCCTACCGGATCATTCTCTTTATATATAATGGTTGTTTTTGTTGGTCGACAAGCTTCTTGTGATTTTAACAGTGATTTGTATTCTATAGACTTGTGTCTTATCTACTCGAATGAAATATTTCTTTGAAATGCACATGCAGGATAGTGTCTGTATTTTAAGTTGTTTAATTGTCTTCAAGCAATATATTGCTATTGCATATTAAAATATTTCTCTCTCTCTCTGTGTGTGTGTCTCTCTCTCTCTTCTCACTCTGACTCTCACTCTCTCACTCATTAAACCACACATATAACAGACAAAAGAGGCATATTAGAATTAATGCAATTGATGATAGTTTGCATTGTAAGAATTAATTTCTTCCTCACTTATATTTCATGTCTGATGATAAATAAGATTGTTGAATATCACATTTATGACTTTTATGTTGCAATCACTAATTGTATTGGATGATATTTCTGCGTAAAATCTAAAAATGTAAGCAATTATTTATTATTATTTTTTGTTTTTCAGACTTTTAAAAATCAAGTAGAGAAACCAGATCAGTATAACGGACCATTACTAAGTCAACAACATAGTAAAATTATATTTGGTAATATTCCACCTATATATGATATACACTGTAAAATACGAGATCGGGTAGCTAACCTAGTGGAAAACTGGACAGAAGAATGTTCTGTAGGAGATGTTATTATTGAAAATGTAAGTATTGTTATATAAAGATTATAGAACATTCTAGGTTCATCTAAGGATAGCTAACAAACTTTTATTTTATGCATGTATAGAGTCCATTTTACTAATTTTTTTCGTAGAGTTTTTCATTTAAAGGATGTGCAGATGTAGGTCAATTGACATGTATCAAGTTTGATGATTCTGTGTTTTAAAAAGTTAAATGCCCTATGGATAAAGATTATTTTTGAGTAATTTGGTTGGGATTAAAAATTATTTTCTGTGTGTGTAGATATTGATTGAATGCAAAATGTTCTTTGATAATTGTTGGAATTATAGGCTGAAGTACAACCCTCCATATTCTCAGTTTCCACACATAGCCATTGAAAAATTAATAAAACAAATATTAGTCTAAAATAAACCTGCTAGGTTGTAGGATCCAATAAGATAATTAAGATATAATTTGCTTTCAGGCTGAGGCCCTTACAAAAGCTTACCCGCCGTTCGTTAATTTTTTTGAGAAATCCAAAGAAACTATAAACTTCTGTGATAAATCTATACCTCGATTTCATGCTTTTTTAAAGGTAAGTGAAATTTATTATAAATAATTGTGTACTTTATAATCTGATAGAAAAAAAAAATGATACTGAATATTGTGTTAATTATATATCTGTTTTTGATGAGGGTGGCACAGTGAGATCACTGCGTTGACTTGCTATCCTGGAGGATCTGTGTTCGATCACTGCGTTGTCAAAAAAGCTCATCAGGATTTTCTGGTGTGGTTACGCCTTGTCCGTGGTATAGGACAGAGGGTCTGGCAAGATACAACATATAGTTGTTCGGATAGGACAAGAAACCAAGGCTCAGTGTACACATTGTCGTGCACATAAAAGAACTTTGACATTTGACATTCATAATAGAGTAGGCGGTAGTGCTATTGTCCTCCGAGCACAATTGCCCTTATAGCACACTGCATGGCGTATGCCTGTCTTCATTAGCCCAGTAGAAGCAAAACAGTATGACGTTAAACACCCCCCCCCCCATTTCATGTTTTTCAAAATATTAACTGAAATGATACAGAACCATCCAGGAGATACTATCTTATAAAGCTTATGTTATAATCAATTTTTTTTCAGGTGTGCCAAACTAAACCTGAATGTGGTCGTCAAACATTAACCGAGTTATTAATAAGACCTGTACAGAGATTACCAAGTATAGTGCTATTGTTAAATGGTTAGTTGAAAATTGTCAAAAAATTTCTAATATAACCCCTGATCATCATCTTCTACATTGTGAAAGTTGAATCTCCAATTAGAATTTCAATCCAGGAATGGTTCAGTTCAGTATTTACAAAATATACAAAATTTGTCAACATTCAGCATCTTCTGCAGATGATATAAATAGGATATGGCCAGACCATGTTTGCGATATCCCCTCGGTGGAAGCGGACGTAAAATACAACTAACTCACACACACACCACATCAATGCTAATATTTAATCTTCCCTAAAAAAAAATATTGATGGGCATCTTTTTAATCTGATTGAATCCAAGCCAGGAGATTATCTACTGGTTTTATTTTCTTTTAAATAATCAACTTGAGTACATTTCGCATGAATTAAGATGTACAAAATCTATATGTAGTCTGAAATATTTTAATGACAATCAACAGCTTTAACCATCTTAGAATATAAGGTTTCGACATGAATTAAAACATATCTACTGGTTGTATATTTCAGATATATTAAAACGTACCAATAGTAGTAATCCAGATCATGGTAAACTAGAACAAGCTATAAATCATTTAAAAGAAGTCATGACGTAAGTATTACGGTATATTATAATCAATAGCCTGTATCAGCGCCTCTTCATGTCAGAACAAAAGTTAAATATAGAATTTATGAATTACACAATTGAAAAGTACTTTTATAAACAACAAAATTTATTCAGATGATCAATTCTAACAAAAGTTTTAACCAGCTTTATTGGGTCCTAAACATTTAATGTACCAGTACCTTATAATTTTCTTTTTCTTTTTTTTTTTGTCCAAGCTTGCAAATTTTACTTCGTGAAGTTTTTCAGATATTTTTCATTATATATGTGACTTTAGAAATATATTGTAATTTGTTTTCTTTTCAGGCATATTAATGAAGATAAAAGAAAAACTGAAAATCAAGTCGTAATGTTTGATATTATAAATGATATTGACAACTGTCCTGTAAGTATATATATTTTAAACTTTCAAGGGGATCACGGTGGCTAAGTGGGTAAGGTGCTGGCTCGCTAGTCTGGAGGTCGGGTGTTCGATCCCTGCATTGGCCGAGAAAGTTCATCCAGATTTTCCGGCGTGGTTCCCCCCCTTGTCAGTGATGCAGGACGGAGGGCCTGACAAGGACAGCTGTCTAGTCATTCGAATGAGACGAAAAACCGAGGTCCTGTGTACACATTGGCGTGCACGTAAAAGATCCCTTGACAGTTGGAATTCGATATAAGAGTAGGCCGTAGTGCCGCTGTCCGGGCAAAATTTCCCTCATAGCACACTGTATGGCATATGCCCGTCTTCATTAGCCCAGTTCGGAGCAAAACAGTAGGACGTTAAACCCCATTTCATTTCATTTCATTTTAAACTTTCAATACTGACCTTGTTTTAAAATATGAAAGGTGGATTCAAAAACAATTGGAGAGTGCCTCAAGTTCTTACCATACAAGTACTATATGACTTACAGTGATTGAATTTGAAACCAATTGGCATCACATCTCTGCAGGGAAGATCTTAAGGCCACAGAATTTTATAGGGTTATAAATTAAATGTTTTTAATGTTTGTTTGGTTTTTTTTTTTCAGGCTACATTATTATCATCACATCGTCGATTTATAAATAAAGTAGATGTAATAGAACTAAGTGATACGTTAAGTGGTAGAGGTGATCCACTTTCATTGTTTTTATTTACAGATAGTATAGAGGTAAATATACACAGGATTTATTATGTCCTGAGACTAAAATTATAAACAAATAAGTTCCTCAATCTTTGCAGCATGAAATTATTACCACTATACTTGAGCACTGTGAAAAATTAGATATTGTTAAAATTATAAAAATATATAGATGGCGATCAGCAGCTTTCACAAAACAATCTGTGAATGGGACATTTACAACTTAGTAGTTTACAATTGTAAGAAATTCAAAGAAATCCATGCTGTATATTAATCATTATGTATATAATTCTATTTTTCAAGATCTGCAAGCGTAGAACAAAATATATGAATTCACAGAAAAGCCCTGCAGCTTTACGGACCCCACAAAAAGCTTACAAACATTTAGAAATGGTTCCTTTATCTTCTATAAAACGAGTACTTGATGTAGAAGAGGCAGAAGGTAAGATTGTATTTTTATTTGAAATTCACTAGTAAAAAAAAGTTTGTAATTGAATTAACTTTTGTATAGATTATAATACAGTTATTAAGGGTTATGAAAGCAGGGTTTTTGCTGGGGGTCAATCATTATTTAAAAAGGTGTTTATGTTAAGCAGTAATATTATTTAATCACATGATGAGTAAAATACTGACAATTTGCTTTAGGCATACATCCTGGCTTTTGTTTGTTTCAGATTGTCGGTTTGCATTTGCATTTATCAGTAGAAACAACTCTGAGTTTAAAGATAAATTGTATAGTTTTATGCTGGATTCAGAAGAAGTTTGTAAAACTGAGATGTTAACAACATTGTGTAAAAATTTAGCTAATACTTTATGTCGACCAGATTACGTAAGTTACATTGTTTGATATTATAAATATTATGTGAACAGTTCAAAATTTGTGGGAGCCATGGGGGCTCAGTATGTAAGACTTTGGCTCTCTAAACTGAAGGTTCCATGTTCCATCCCTGCATTGGCCGAGATAGTTCATATCGATTTTCCGGCGTGGCCCCCCTTCACCCCCCCCCTTGTCAGTGGTACAGACAGAGGGCGTGCATGTGAAAGATCCCCTAAAAGTTGGAATTTGATATAAGAGTAGGCTGCTGTCTAGCACAGTTGGAGCAGAACAGTAGGACATTAAACCCCATCTCAGAATTTCTGACAGGTTCAATTTCTCCTAAAGATATAGCCTGTTTGAAATCACCACACCTTTTACACCCAGTATATCAATATCAAAAAAGAAAATATGCTATATAATATGGTGTTTAATATTGGTGTGATCAAAATCATTGTGAAATTATGTGGGACTTACTGTTACAACTATGTATTTAAATTTCAAATTATTTCTGAAATAAGTACAATAACAAATGATTTATTTACAAAAAGATCTGGTAGATGCTTAACTGACTTTTGGCTGTGATGTGACACAGAATGGAGAATGGTCAGTTTTGGTAACAGATGTGATTCAAGCAGAATTGTGTTGGCTAGCATTTTTATGCTATGGTAATTGTTAAAGATGTCTTATTCATATGAATTATGCTTCGTCTCTTAGTTAAGAATCCCTTAGATTACATTTGAAGGATGGAAAATCCCTCATTTAAAATGTGTTTATTTTATAGCACACATTAATGGCTACTGTGAAAGGAGAAGAGTTAAATATAAATACCAAAGAATTAAACAATAAAATCAAAAAAGCTGTCAAGTAAGTATGAAGCGATCTTCTTCAAATGTATGATGGATACTTTGCTGCCCCTAATCTAAAAATACTGGTTTTATTTAAAGATTGATTATATTATAATGGATCGTAAAAATATTATCATGAAATATTGCGATATAAATTGTCTTTTAAAAATTTTATCACTATATTGTTAAAATATCATACCTACCAAGAACTTATATTATTGGTAAATTATGACTATAACTAAATACTTGGTAAATGATATACAAGCCTTTTTAAAAAATTATCTCTAGACAGCTAAAATTAAATATTGAATTTTTCTTGTAGACGTGTTAGTCGAGCGTTTTCCTTCAATAAAACACCTGGTAGATTAAAGCGGGCGATATCAGGTATTACACATGGTATTAGTCCGTTTGTACGACATACACCAGGTGATTTAAAAGGTAGAAGATTGGCCAGTACCTTTGATTTAACAGTAAGTTGATATACTAGTGATTATTAATATGAAATGGTTCTCTGGATTATGACAAATATAAAACTTATTAGTCACAGTTCAAAATAAGGATAGAACCTACTGTTCTGCAAATTAGAGCAATACAGTTGACCTTAAGGAACTGCACCATATGTAGTGAATCAACCTTGTGACTATTGTGTTGAAGGCCTCTTAGATTTAGAACACTATATAGCCTAGTCTTGCGCAACTGTTTCAAATAAGAATAAGCTTTCAGTTTTTATGTGTGGTTGATCAAAAATTCTCAAATGTATTATCAGGGCCACCATTGTCAAGATTCATTCCATTTACAATTATAACAGTGAAATTTCTGAACTGATTTAAATATTTCAAATTTTACCAAATATCTATTCCACATGGTCTATAAATTTAGAGTATTTTTATTTTATGATCTCGACCACGTTTATGAACAGTTAAATGAACCTTTTTGCACCTTAAGAATCAATAAAAATTAAGTTGTTTTAATTATATTGAGATAATGAAACCATTTGTACTGTGTTACCCCATGCTTGCACCATAAAATTGTGATTTTCAACATCCCCATGGCATTTTGTCAAATTCAATTTTTTGTGTTTGAGAGAACTAACATGTGGTGCGTTAACAACCATCTATTTATAAAAGTAATGTGTTTTTATAGTTTCTCAGTATATTATAATTTTTTTTTTTGAAGATAATGCAGGTTTAATTTAATAGTTTTTGTTTTTAGGATTCTTCACCGATGTCTGCTAGTCATTTTGATGATGATGGTGATTCTATTAGTCTTGGTGCCTTTTCTCTTCAGGTAAATATAAAAGTATTCTAAATGAGCTAGATTGATGAAAATATTTATCTTGTATTTATAGACTGAAATTAGAAACCCAGAGATTCATATGAACTTAAGATATTTTATTTTCCTACACCAACCTGGCTAATAAAGACATACACCAGGCAGTGTAGTACTAAGGGGGAGGGCAGGGGTGTGGAGGATTGGGTCTGCTTTATTCTATCCTTCATCAAATTACCAGGCATGATTTTTTTCCGTTACTTAGCAGATTATCATTATTACAGTTGTCAACGGTTCGTTCTCGTGATTTGTCTGAATTTGCAATAAAAAAGTTGTCGGGGTGGGGGGGGGGGGGGTGTTAATACATTTTAGCCAACTCTTGAGAGGGAGAAAAGTCATAAGTTGATTAAAAACTCAGTCTCTTGTCCGTTATTACCGTCTTGTATATTTTTTAAAAAAATCAGACCTACACGATCGAGACTACAATATTAATTGTCCAATGAAATTCCAAGAAAACATAATCGGCGGGAATTGTCCTGTAGAGTGGTTTTGTTTCAAGCCGGATCTGTGTGGGTCGATTCAAGTTTTAATAATAATCATGTCACACATGTTACGAACGGGATATTGACTTTTCTGTATGATTTTATTATTAAATTGATATCAAATCTTATAGTCCTGTCATCTAAGCCACCTGGAGATAGAATTAATTTTAAAACCTCTGGATATGAAACCTGTAATATGAATCGGCCTACGAATAAATACTATGGGACAAATTATCCCATTTCTCGGCTGTTAAATAAAATTGCGGCGAAGCAAAATATCGATATTAAGAGCCTTGACATTGCAAAGAATCCATGGAAATGGAGATGGTTAGAGAGGGAGGTGGGCGGGAAAGCGGTGCGCCTTTTTATTGGGAAATTACGTCAACTGAGAAAAGGCTACTGCCATTATGATGTAAGGAAATTAACTACAGATGTTGTGGGTTGGAAGTTTTTGAATGTTTTATTGCCTCCGGACCCTCTCCCCCCTTTAGTTAAGAGACACATGTTCGCACACCAGCGGCGTGGCTATTTTTTTTTAGTCATCCTTGAGAAGACACAAAATAATGCTTAAATTAGAACTGTCAAATTTTCTTTATATGCTCACCATAAGTACCGTACACTGGTGGACATCTCCCAAGTTTTTCATCCCATCCAAATGACTAACCATTTTTCCGTTCATATACTAGGTCAGGATACAAGAGTTAAAAATACAAGTTGCTCAAATTATATTACTTTAAAACATCTAATAATCATTTATTCATTAATTTTAATGTATAATATATTTCAGGAGGAAGGATCACCTATAAGTAATTTCCATACACCTGCTAAAAAGTTAACCAAGTATATGACTCTTGGACCTAGTGCTACAAAGAAATATATGTAAAATTGTGATATATACTTTATATATGTGTAAGTATATATTTATAGATTTTTTGTCTGTCAATTGTGTAGTTTAGTTCTTACCAATCTTGTGCACTTTTCAGAAACCAGAATTTTTATTGATTTTTTTTAAAAGGTTATTCAACTGTCAGCTATATATTTAAAAGGAATTTTTGAATCTTAAAGACCTATTCAGACTAGACAAAATAAAAGCTAGTGTTGTCAAAAGGTTAAATGGCCAAAAATAATTTGAAAAATTATTCCTAATACAAGTCATGGGCATTGATTAAAAGTTGATATTATTTCTTTTTGATTTTTCTAAATTCTTAACATGTAAGTTTCTCACTTGCAATTAGATAACATGGGAATTACTCACTGGTAACTAGAAATTCCTCTCTAGCCATTGCTTTACTGACAGCAAAAACTTGGGGTTTTGACAGGAGTGTGTCTATTTCTATCGTTCAATCAAATCTCTCTTAAGTACAATTCTGCAGCCACTAAGGTGGATTTTCATGACTGACTGCTTAACGGCTGTGACCACATAATAAAATTTCAGTGTTTGTAAAACTTACGCTTGGATTAATAAATTTGACCATCGCTGAAACTTGCGACTATTTTGACTATTTTATACGAGTCAGTTTTTACCAACATTATTTACTACCTTATGTATTCGATAATATTTATCCATGAATTATTATATGCCCACATTGAAATGTTGTCGTATATTGTCGTCGCTGACGGTCTGGTGTCCACAATTGCCTGTGGTCACTCTAGAGGCTAAAGTTAATATCCTATTGATTTTAAATTTATACAGTGAGAGGAGAAAGTCTATTGATTTTCAACAATTTCTGATAATTACTGCCAGAGTTATGGCCCTTGATCACTTTGAAAAATCTTGTGGGCACTGTAGAGGCTAAAGTTAATATCCAATTGACTTTAAATTTATACACAGTGTTTAAGGTCATCAAACGAAGAAGTCTATTGATTTTCAACTCCCTGAAATTAGCAGGGAGTCTGGCAGTGTTTGAGTGGGATTATGTCTACTAATCAAATGAAACCCTGCAAGGAGTATGGTGCATTACTGGTTGCTAACACCAACAAGAACATTACATAATGGCAGCTATATTATAATGTGTGCACTGTCATAAAGGATTAAATATAACTTCAAAGACTAACCAACTGTGTTTGGAACTTATCGTAGAGTTAAATTACCTATTTTGCTGCCTGTCTGCTCCAATGTTTCTGTTCCCAGTTAGTATCATTTCTAAGGATTAAAGAAGTTTAATGCGCATTAGTCAGTCTTGAGAGGGAGAAGTCATATGTTGATTAAGAACTCAACTCCCTTCCCCCAGTTATGCCTGTGGCATTTCGCATTTGCACGCCTTGGTGTGACAAAAGACACAAAATCATGCCTGATTAGTGACAGATGTTCAAGACTATTATATTGCAGAAGTTCAGTTTTGTAATTATTTAAAAAAAATGCTTTCGACTATAAATAATAAATGAATTTGACTGGGGGCATTTGAAATTTTTTCATTAAACCTGTCATTATTTATGTCAGTGTCTGGAAAAAGAGCCATGCCTATTATTGTATAGAAATAAGGTCACTACAATATATTTTTTGTTGCATAAATTTCAAATACTTTCATCTTGTGAACATGTTTTCATAATATTTGATATTTGTGTAATTTCAGGAGATCGAATTATGAAGAAAAAAAAGAACCCTTAAGATGAAGTGATGATCTGTTCAAATATTATATATTCACATATCATTCATCAATATATTATGTTTTATTATAATTAGAATCTAAATATTTGTTTTCATATTTTAAATATATTCTGTGGTTGTATTTCTTTTCAAGAACTGATCTCTATAGTACATCAGTTCTAAATATTTAAAAACAAAATTTATTCCTTGTGTTACAGAAACAAAGATATATTTTTGATATTTGTTTAAAAGTTGAAGTTGTGTTCCTTGTAGTTTATTTAGGTCATCAATTTAGCCACAAATGTCTTCTAATGAGTAGATAAATAAAAATATAAACCAATAAAGCTTATCAAATGTTTTATATAAGCTTATAAAATATGTTCTATGATTATTTTAGTACATATTGTCATTTTCATTGATTAGATCACAGACAGCCTTCATTATTGTCTTACTCAGACAAAGACTCGCTACATAATACTACTGAATATAATATGGTGTCATTACTCATTTACATATAGATCTGTATTTATATATTCACATGCAGTGATAATGAGGTCATTATTGAAATGGGTCATGTCTAACTTACTACACAACAATTGTGAGTACGGGTAGTCAATATTACATTGCTTTGATCTGGTTAGGGAGAATTTGTGTGTGTTGTGAGAGATAAGAAATTGGGAGGTTTGGATGGTTTGATGCAGATATGCCAAGAGATGACTCGAGAGGATAAGTGCAGGGTAGAGTCTTCTCATTGGGGTAAAGGAATGAGAGGAAACTGTGCCTCCTATGATACATGTATCTATAAATGGAGTAAACAACACAATGGCCATTTTATCTTACAATTAGATAAAATTGATATTGAATAAGTAAAATTATTTTCTCTATTGTCAAAAGAATACATCTTTAATTTCAATACCATACACATAAATTACTGCCCCATATAACAACTTAATTGACTTGAAATTTTTTAGGAACACAACCCTTTTAAATAAATGTGTAAATGTACTTTTGGATTTATTTAAGGTAATTAGTTTTAAAAAAATATAATGTTGCATAATGAGAATATTATTTATATTTATGACTGCCACAAGTTGTGTTCTTGCCACAAGTTGTGTTCTATCAATGTACTATGGTTGTGTAATCAAATTAGGGGATATTTAAACTGCTTTGTATATTGCTAATGCTATATATTGATAATAAAGTCAATTACATGTACTATGATTACCTGTGTTTAAACAATGATGCAGTACTGCCAACTTCTGGCTTGTCAAAATTTGTAAGATTTACAACTGGTTGTGACAATTGACCATGGTTGATAAATACATGACAATAAAAAAAGAGAAGTTGTAAGAGCAAGAGTGAAGATTTGTGTTACACAATATATGTAAGTAATCAGAAATAATAATTATTGTCATGTTTTCTGAAATATTCAGATTGACTACTGAGTTTCTTGTATTATAAAACCTGTCCGTAGCTTTATTTTTAAAGATAGTTCAACAAGGAGAGGGTTTTTATGAAATATCATAGAATTTGAGATGTGTTCTGTCGAGCTTATTCCCATCTAAATATTTATTTTTTTAAGTGCAATTTATATTTTTGACTCCGAGAGTAATAAGAAATATCCTGTTAATATGGCAGTTGATGTGCTACAGGGTTTAATAATAGTAATGTGTACATTAAAGTGTCACTGTAATTCAAAACAGGTTAATGGGCATGTTAGCCATAATGGCAGTACTGTTGGGTTTGCAATAGACAGGACATCCCCACAAAATACCTGTGAAGTAATTTGGATATAATCCAAAATCAGTGGTTATGTAATTAAAACTTCGTAGCTCCAAGGAATATAGCTTTAGTTATAATGTAAATGTATTTGAAAATTGGTTCATTTCCTTGTCTTATTGGGTCATTCTTATTACATGTACAACTGACAAGAATTAACCTGTTGATTATCTTTAAAATATATCATATATATATATATCATGTTGTTAATAGTTTAAAACTGTATATAATATAGTATGTAAATATTGTATAATATAGATCTATATATCCTGCCTATATAAATTTTCTTTTATTTACTAGATTAGAATGAGCCAGGTTTGAATATTTACTTCAAACCTGGGGTTAGTTTCAGTTAATGGCCGAAGTATAAAAATCATATTTAAGGGAGCATCATGGGAGATTAGATAGAGTTGACAGTTCTCGCTATAATATCTAAAAAAATAGATGAAGTAAATAGAATAGGCTGAAAATTTCAGTCATCATTACTATAGTCCATACGATAAAAAAACAAAGTCTGGGTTATCCATTTTTATGGTTAATTATTTTTCAAAATATTTATTTCGATCCGCTAAATATCGCAGGCTAGTGATGGCATCGAGAGTTGATTATGGTTTGGATAAGTTAATTAATGTCTAATTAACAATTAAGATACCTGCAATAGGTAGATTTAGCTCTTGCATAATGTATGTTAAAGTACACCTTTTTGAATGAGTATGATTTATATATTTCTGTTGTTTAGTGAAACAATAGGTCTGAACATGCACACCCGAATGGGAAAGTGTTAGTTATTTGGATGAACAAAAAAAAAATGGGGTCCCAATTAAGTATATTGAATTCTCTGTGATATTGCACTAAACCACGGAAAATTAAATTTCCTTGTTTGGATGCAAAAAAATGATCAAACTTAAAACTATAATCCTAAAAATCAGTTATATTTTTCATTTTTACCAGTATGTCCAGAGGTAAAGTATTAGCATTGTGTAACACCTAAATAGAATGATCAGCGGAAATTTTATTTGTGGGACAAGTAACTGGAGAAATTAACATAAAGGGTTTTGATTCAAATTTCATGCTGTTGATGCAAGTCAACCATAAGATCAGTTGCTCCATCTTATTAATAATAATGAGGCACCCTTGTATAAAATTGTCACTTCCTCAATAACTACCAGACTTATTTAGTTTGTTTAAATTTTAAAATTCATTATATATTGTGCACAACTCCATTCTCTGCAAACAAAGAATTGGACAGTTGTGGCCCTTTAATATTATGAAGTGCCATATACTGTATATATTTCAACTCCTCCCAAACTACATTTAAATCTGTTTATCAATAATTATATATATATCTATTTTGCATTGCTATTATTTATCATCCATCCATGATATTATTTTGTATGTAGTAGAAACTTGTAGTATATGTAAAGTATGCAAATATATTGTCAATGATTACAGAGCTAGTATTTGTAGATTAAATACCACATACAAATCTGAAACATCTTTCGATTTTATTTATAATCTTTTGATACTATCAAAAAATTCAATGGATGTCTGAGTCTGAATATGATTTTAGTCTTTCAGTTTTCATATCAAACAATGTAGAAGATCCCGAACCGCTCTATAAAGAGTCCCCAACACCCCACCCCCTGTCAATGTTATAAAATCACCCCCCACCAATATGTCTTTGCCCCATGGACCACAGTAACTTCCTTATCCCACACCCTTGGGACCCCAATTGTTTTTTTTTATTATTATTTTTTTTTATGTATTTAACAAATCTTAAGTATCATCTAATCAAATTTGGTTGATTCATAAAGCTGTGTATTAGGAAAAGTTCAAATGCCTTAATTTGACCAATCAATGTGCTTGCCAGTGGTGGCGCTAGCCGCCGGTGGTTGGAGGGGCAAAATCTAAGGTTAAGGGGGCAAAGCCATGAGCTTCAACTAGGGTAGGGTACAGAGGTTAGTGGGACAGGCTAAAGTTAATGTCCGATTGACTTTAAATTTATACACTGTGTTTTAGGTCATGAAACGAAGAAGCCTATTGCTTTTCAGCGATTTCCGATAACTACTGCCAGAGTTATGACCCTTGATCACTTTGATCTTGTGCATGCTCTACTAGAGCAGTCATTCTCAACCGGTGTGCCGCAAGATCCTCTTCAAAAAAAAGTAGGGGATATTCAGAAACAATACAAAACTGCGGAAATGCACTGCTGTTTTTATACGCCCACATTTTTATGTGGAGGTATTATGCCGTCGCCCCTGTTTGTCCGTCCGTCCACAATTTGTTTGTGGACATTCTACAGGTCACAATTTTTATCCGATTTCAATGAAACTTGAAATATAGGTTTATCTCCCTAAGATCTCGGTTCCTTTCGATATTGGCATGTCTCGGACCGTAACTTCATGGATTATGGCCCCTGATTGTACGAAAAATCGCGTTTTTAGCTTGTGGACACTCTAGAGGTCAAAATTTTGATCCGATTTTGATGAAACTTGAAATCCATGTTTATAACCCAAAGATTGCACTGCTGTTTTTATACGCCCACATTTTTATGTGGAGGTATTATGCCGTCGCCCCTGTTTGTCCGTCCGTCCACAATTTGTTTGTGGACATTCTACAGGTCACAATTTTTATCCGATTTCAATGAAACTTGAAATATAGGTTTATCTCCCTAAGATCTCGGTTCCTTTCGATATTGGCATGTCTCGGACCGTAACTTCATGGATTATGGCCCCTGATTGTACGAAAAATCGCGTTTTTAGCTTGTGGACACTCTAGAGGTCAAAATTTTGATCCGATTTTGATGAAACTTGAAATCCATGTTTATAACCCAAAGATCTTGGTCTCTTTCGATATTTGCGCATATAGGATTGTAATTTCCTGAATTATGGCCCCTGATTGTACGAAAAATCGTGTTTTTGGCTTGTGGTCCCTCTAGAGGTCACAATTTTTATCCGATTTAAAAAAAACACGTTTTAGTATATCACCGTTACACCGTAATGAAGGTTGAGTTTGAATTTCGTGAAAATGTGACCAAAACTGCCGGACAAAATGGCCGCCGCTTGCACGCGAATAGTGTAAAAATATGGTATATCAAGGTTGTGCACCCCATAGAGGTCACAATTTTGATCCGATTTTGATGAAACTTGAAATGCATGTTTATAACCCAAAGATCATGGTTCCTTTCGATATTCCCGCATAACTTCCTGGATTATGGCCCCTGATTGGTCGAAAACTCGCATGTTTAGCTTGTTGATTCTCTAGAGGTCACATTTTTTTTTTGATTTTAAAAACCGTTTAGATCACCATTCCACCATAATGAAGGTTGAATTGGAATTTCGGGAAAATCGAAATAAAAATTCCGACAGAATGACCGCTCTTTGTATGCAAATTGTATACAAGTATGTAATTCAAAGGTTATGGACCCTCTAGAGGTCACAATTTTTATACAATTTTGATGAAACTTAAAACATATCTTTATATTCCAAAAATCTCATTTCCTTTTGATATATGTGCAATATCGATTATGGCCCCTGATTGTACAAAAAATAGTTTTTGTTTTTAGCTTGTTCTCTATCCATCTCTTGCAAAATGTGGGCGTATCCTGCCTGGCAGGCGCTGGTTATTAGAGGTAACCAGTGTATGTTAATAAACAGGTCATATGGGCAGCTTATCTGACGGTCCCATTTCACTCGCAAAGAGATACTGTCATAAGTGAAAATGGACGTTTTTGATTTTTGTTTTAATAATGAGTAATTGCTCCACCAATCCTCAGACATTCAGCATTTCGTCATGGCATGTTCCTAATCAACCGTCCAATCACGATTTAGGGCAATCTGACCCACTCCTCTTGCAGTGCCACGGCCAATTCTTGCAGTTTTGTCGGTTGACGTTGACGTCGACGAACACGTCTCCCGATCATGTCCCAGACATGATCTATAGGGGAAAGGTCAGGACTCCTGGCTGGCCAAGGCATATGAATAATATGGCTACGCTGGCGGTAGTCATTCACGACACGAGCGCGGTGGGCACGGGCATTGTCATCTTGAAAGATGAAACACCGACCTGCATGTTGAACAAAGGGCAGAACTATCGGTGCCAGGATGTGGTCACGGTAGTACACACCAGTGACCCTTGAACAATATGCAAGTCCGTTCTGCCTGTCATGCTGTCTAACGTTAACGTTAGCATGCCACTCATTTACACGCCTCCAAACGCGAGGACGCCTATCGGTGAAATCCAAAGTAAATCTTGACTCATCTGAGAACATTACACGCGCCCATCGACGATTACCCCATTTCTACGTTAATGCAGGCACAACATGGTCCTGTAATATGGTACAATATGGCTTGTGTAGTTGCTCTAGGACGACCTGAATGAGGTATATCATCAACATTGTGTGTTTGTTGGTACCGGTTCCACAATCTGCTGATGCTCACTGTGTAGAACCCATTTGAAGCATGACAATAACACGTAGACGTTCATCATTTTGAAGAAGTCTCATTGCAAATTAAACCTAACACACTAAAGCAAAGATATGCTAAACAGCACGCGGCAGTTTTCATCAACCCTTCCTTGAAGTGTCAAATTTGACAATGAACCCCTCCCACGTGTATGGCGCTATTGCGTGTCGCACGTGCAGCTCAGCGGTTCTGTCTTGGGGCGATAAGGTCTTCATCTGTGAACATACTCTCAAAGCATGTCCCCTACTTTTTTTGAAGAGTATATATTTAGCCAGTTGTGTCGCTAATTGGTCATGTGTTCCAAGGTGTGTCGTTGCCCTAGTGGCTAAAATTAGTGAAAATTGTTCAAGGCCATGAGACAAACAATCGAAACAAATTCTAACAATTTCTGATAATCGCAATAGGATTTTCATGTGTTGTAAACGTTCTCCTTACTGACAAAAGTAAAAAAAAATATGCGTCAACCCATGTTGACTGCTCGGACGACTTAGCTGTTGTGGGCATATGTTTTCGTTGCCCCGGCTTAGGTCAAAAAACATAAGCGTGCCGTACTGAGTACCGTGCCAATTTGGCCCACTGAAATGAGGTGGTCTCAGCACGGTGCACGGCAGGGCACGTTAACATTTCATAGTGTAAACGCTATCCTGTCTGAGAACGGTTCTCCGTACGGATTATTGCGCATGCGCCAAATGATTTATGGGAGGTCAAATGCCCCCCCCCCTTGTAATATCTTGTAGAACAATGCCATACTTGCACCACAGGTTCCCTTATAGACATGTATTCGAATCTTCCCAACATCTAGGCATGGATATCTACCGCTATACCGGGTGTTACAGCTGACATTATCTACATTCAGTGGAACGTGTTCTGTCTATCCAGTGTCCTAACACTGTGGTCGAGATTGTCTGTCACATACTGGACCGGATGTGATGAGTCGACCAACTTAGGAGCCTCGTAAACTACAAATTGAGGCTGTGCCCCTGAATGTCACCAGCCTTTCCATTGATGCAGGTGTTATCCATGTCGTTGCCGAAGTGATCTTCGAGTTTGTTCTGCACGTATTCGTCGCTATCTCCATTGCCGATTTCTCCCATCATCTACACAATAGAATCAATAGGTCTACCAGGTTGTGTTTCTTAAAGGGAAACAGTTATCTTGTTTTTGTCGGTTTGTGGTACACATCTACTACATGCAAGTCTTGGGCAAATTCAATCCTGATGTGAACCAACTGTCACCATGCTGTCTACATGCAAGATCAATAGTTGACTGATAATCAGCAGTTCTGACAGGGGATATACCATTATCACTCCTCTTTTCCGAGCACTTGGACATTTTCAAATTTTATGAGTACCACTGGGGTCATGAGAGTACAAACCCTATCGATATGAGTTTTACATAAAATTCCTTCCTAAGTTATCCCCGTTCGCGAAAACATTGTGACAGCGATAGGGCTACAGTTTTTAACATATGTTTTTCTAATTCTATGTAAAGCATTGAGACAGTGATAGGATGAGCCCTATTGATTGTCCCTGCTCTCCGTCCATCTATTGCAAAATGATGGCATATCTTGCATGGCAACCACTTGTATCTCTTGAGGTCAAAACTGATAACATTCATTCACGTAGGCCTATTTATGCCATCACTTCCCTTGTCATGAAGCACCACATTTTTTTCACCATCGTCCAAATTTTCCTTACAAATTACATAGTTTTTTATGATCTGGAATGAAGAAAAGATTCAAACGTCAATGTACGGCTCCCTGAGGTACATAGGCGTACGAGCTGGGGGTGGGGGGCTGGGGGTCGGCCGCCCCCCCATTTTGGGCACCAAATGCTGGGAAAATTTGGGCACACAATTGTACTTTGTAAAAGTTGTATAAAAAAAGATATTGTGTTCTTGAATGTGTCCAATTTAACAGCGAATTTATTATTATTATGTAACATACTAAGAACCTAACTACATTTTTTGGGCACCAACCACCACCGCCCCTCCCCCCCCCCCAGTCAAAAATTTCCCCGTACGCCTATGCT